TCCCCCAACCCACTCTTCTCCTTTCTCTCCTGCCGGCGAGGAGTTCGGAGTTTTAATCCATCCCTATTCAGTGCCGAGCAGCGACACACACACACACACACACATGCTGCCAAAGGCTGGAATACAGAAGAGAAGAGACTAACGAGGATTAAAGGTCGCGGGAAGTGCTGCTACGACGCCGCGTTTTCAGCAGATGATTTGTACTCTCGGACGGCCATGCGCGGCATGTTTGGGACGTGACGTGTGTATCTCTTTTTTTCTCTCCCCTTTAACGGTGTATTACGCCGCTAGAGAGAGAGACAGAGAGAGACAGAGAGAGACAGAGACAGAGAGAGAGAGAGAGAGAGAGAGAGAGAGAGAGAGAGAGAGAGAGCGCAGGTCGCGTGTGGACGCCTCACGCCAGCCCCCGCCCCGGGCCGACAAGGATGCATAAAATAAAAACAAGTGGGCTCCGACAGCGACACCTGTGTCGTGTGAGAGTAAACATTACCGCATGATAATAAAAATTCAAAATTCTAAATAATTTTCCTAGCGATGAAAATCCTGAACAAATTTAGTTGTTGGACACACCTGGCGGTTGTTCAAAGTCGTTTTCGGGAACACATTCACGGTTTTAAAGCCACCGCACACTCTGTTTCCTAGGCGTGTCATCGGCCTGAGGACGGGCAGGGCAGGTCCGTTTGCGACTGGACGGTCTCGGGACGGTCTCACGCGACGCAGCGGGGCGGTATGCATGACCGCCGTTAGGCGCGCGTTGCTTCGATTATACATTACAGGTAGAGGGGGGTGGGGAGAAGGTTGTCACCGGGGGAAAGCGGCACGTATCAAAAGCAGAGATATTCTCTCTCTCTCTCTCTCTCTCTCTCTCTCTCTCTCTCTCTCTCCAGAATAATGCGAACGCTCCTCGAGAAGTCTGTGCTGTTATTTGCTAATAGTCTTAACGGCTAGTCATTTCTAAAATGGGGGGAAAAAAAAAGAAATCCGCGACAACGCACACACACACACACCAACACATCTGTGACACGGGTGACGGATGTGACAAGCAGGGTCGCTCCGCGGCTGTGTGTGGAGCTGACCGGGACCACACCGAAGACTACTTTACGACCGGTGCGGTCATTTGGGCCTCGCGTCAGTTAGAATCGCAGTTCGGATATTGGTAACAGTGGCGTGACCACGTGTTTGGGATGTCGAGAATTTTCAGTTTGTAGAAAATAATTTTTGTTAAACCTTTTTAGCAAACGATATATTTAATACTAAAACATATCAGAACATATTATCAACTTTCTTGTAATGTCCAAAATATTTCCTGGAATATTACAACTTTTTTTAAGGGTGTTCTGGAAATATTTCTGATTTTTCCGTAATAATTTCGGACTTGAAAATCCCTTATTGCACGTTTGTGGACTGTGGGGTTTTGTGCCTTCCAGTGACCAACACGCCTCGTCAGGCAGAGCGCCGTGAGGGTGGGCAACCCGCCCGCACCCCTGCGTGGCGGTACAGTATCACAGCAGCGGCGAGCGCGAGGCGTGAGAGGTGAGGGAGGGAGGGAGGGAGGGAGGGAGG